TAAATGCAAATTAAGCAAAAAGAGAGTTTTTAAGGAAGTGTGGAACAAAAAAAAAAGAATATTGACAGAGGGAGAATATACGATAGAAGTGGAGTAGAATGCATGATCCCTCCCAACTTCTGCCAGAGGCATGCTTTGCTTAGTTAGTAGCTTAATAGCAATACAATTTTAAAAACATTTACTTCAAGCCCCAATTTATTTATAAATTTTGGAGGCACCAATTTTTTGAACTTGTATCTTAGTCTTCATCTTTTTTATATCAATATTCTCATTTTCATTAGTAACTTAAGGGAATAATGGATTTGTTTCTCAGAGCAGACTTGGCTAGTGAATCAGCCACAAGGCCCACAACATTGTTCCCTCTAGGAACATATCGAACATCAAAGAAAGAAAAATCTGGGATAAATTTGAATTTGGATGTATCTAAAAGCATAATATGAATCTGATGGCCCCCTTGTGGTAAATCTCTCCATTTTCTTAACTTTTGTTTTTTTTGAAAATTTGGTGCTTAAATTAAATGAAAAATTATAACCCAATAAAATTAGAGATCGGTTGTCGGCATAGAAAAAAAGAAAAAAAAATTGAGATCGGTCTTCACGTAAGAAAAACAATAGCTTTCCTTTTAGAATTTATAATAGGATTTCTGTTTTTATAAGCTATAAAATAACACATCAATCAATCAGTGAATATCTCATTCATTCCAAAGATTCGTCATTAATTTCTCGTGTTTAATTTCTCTGTTTCCTATAACTTTTGGTTTGCTCTCTCAATATATCGAAAAGCAACCAAGGTTTGTTCAAATATGGGAAAAAATTGTGAGTTGCCTGACGATTTACTGATCACGATTTTGTCATTCGTTCCGACAAAAGATGTGGTGACCACGAGTGTTTTGTCAAACGATGGTGACATGTTTGGAAACTGACTCTAAATCTCGATCAAGATTGTGTAGAGCTATGTGCTATATGCTCTCTCGATTGGTTTTCCTTTATACGAATGCATACCCCTAAACTGTGAGTTCTCAGGTTAAGACAACAAAGATGTTGCTGTGACTTTTTAAGAGAAAAGTGGAAGCGACCGGATTTTATACCTAAATGTTTGAATTCGAATATGGAAGCTGTTGAATGGATTGGGTATAAAGGAAGAGAAGAAACAGAGAAAAAAAACAGTGGTCCACATCTTACGTAATGCAGGTAACCTAAAGACGATGGATATTTCCCTCATAGTGGCTATCTTAGGGTTCGTGCGCACGAAGTCTATAGAATGTTACATTTCAATTACACCTTAATTTGAGCTTTGATTTTTTTATTTTCTCTCTTTTTTTGTTAACTCTTAAGCTACCAAATACCAATCTCCTTTCTCGGATGTCTAGTTTTCCTTTATTACCATCTCATCAATAGAAAATTAATCTCTTTGTGTGGTTTTGCTTCTCTTGATTGATTTGGCTTCTAGTCGCTTTTGTTATCAAGATTTTCGACACTGTGGATAAGAACATAACTAAGAAACCGTTTTGAGTTCGATTCTCATCTTAGGAGACTACTCCCACAATTTGGCGATGATGGACTAGTTTGCTTCACAAGCAACTTAAGGAACATACGTTCTCTGTCCTTTTCATTCCATGGCTATATATGGCTCTATAAGTAGCATCTCTTGTTTTATGTTTCCTCTTTGCTATGTGAAATATTCCCTCTTTATTTAACTTCCAGCTTTTTACTAGACTAAGATACATGAGAACTTGTATTTTAGTCTAGGGGTCGAATATGATAATATCGAGGAAGCCATATGTTATCAAAAACCTCTTTTGTTGTAATTAAGATCATTTCCTTACGTACCACACCGATCAATAATGCTTTGCAGAATTTATACTATTTTCTTCGGGTAATAAAACTCTTCTTAAAAAAAGAAAAGAAAAACAAGCCTTAAGTCGCTATAATGCGTACTTTATAATATGCATGTTTGTTTAATCTTTTAGGTGAAACTAGCCTTAAGGCGCGACTACAACTTCAACTTGCATATTTATTCTTTTAGAAAAAGAAGTGACATGAGACTATGACTCTATGAGTGATGAGAGCTTTGTGTTGTGTCTTCTTTGCACAGAACACACGACGTCGTCTAACTTGTTCAAAGTCTCCACGTGCCTGCACCCAGCAATC